AAACCAGGCAAGGACTTTGTCTCTGGGGAAGGACTCCAGCACCACATGGAAGCTGATGTCAAAAAACAGAAAAGTTAATGCAAAGCTAGAAACCCTGGATTTGGCAGGAAGAAAGTCCTTGACCTTTGTAAGTCTTATGAAACAGAAGCAGATAGCTAAAACTGAGTTCTTACACTTTTGGACAAGCTATATGGGCTTTGTGCCCCTCGAGTGTTGGGATGATGTCCTTGCTTCTCTCTGTCACCACCTGGCACAATGCATGTTTCTTTTTTGATTGAATGAATGAATGAATTGGAGACAGTCCAAAAGTGAGCTAGTTCTCAAGAATATGCACAAAAAGCTCAGCTGGGGATAACTTCAAGGTGGCAGGGGCAGCAAACAGCTGAAATAGGGAACGAGATAGGTCCAATCTCTAAGTTACTTTATTCACAATGCATGTTTCTATCCTGACCATTCAACCCAAAATATATGAACCTGTTCAACTTGGGAGTACTTGACAGTTTGGTATGAAAATGACATTGGGGTGTGTGTCTGTAAAAAGTATTAGTATGCCCGATTTGTTTGGCCTATTCATGTGGAAATTTCTTTAAAGTAATGGATTCTGCAAGGTTTGGGGAAAACTGTTTGAGTGCTTTCATGAAAACTGTGTTTTCTACTGATAGCTTGAGCTGGGGTTTGAAAAGAATAAATGTGGCCTTCTATTTGCAGGGTCTGCTTTCCATCCCTTTCTCAGATGTTAAAGTGACTTGTAATTGCCGCTCTTAAACTGAATCCTGGAAGAATGACGGTAATTCACAAGTGTTGGTAAAGCACTGCTAAAATCTAGAAAGTATTTACTTCAATTGTTCAGCCTCTCTAAGAGCAGACCTTCATAGGACATGAAAGAATAGAACAGGAAGAAAAGATAGAGCATTTCTAACTGGCAGTAGCATTTCTTAGAAATTGTTAAGCAAGAAGCTGGAAGCAAGATGATGTTCAGATATATAGGATGCCAGCATAAATCCACTTTTTAAACTGCCTTGAATCCCATTAAGATATAAATCACAGGGTAAAAGTCAGAGAGCTCTGCATGCTCACTAATAGTAGTATTAACTGCTCCCCCCAACACTCCTACTATGTTTTGAATTCTGAAGACATTTAGTTTCACCCAATTTACTGTTAAGAGTCTGTCACTGACAACACACTGGGGCTAACACTACACAGGTGCATTGTGGGAAACCTTCACCTTCTGAAGCAACAGCTATTGGCTATTGCTTTGGGGAGATGAGAAGCTTGGTCTTTCTGTTGGAGTGACAAGCTTTGTGGATCTCCTTTCCATATTGCTGGTACCACCCTTTCCTTATGTCAAAATTTTTAATTATATATGTAAGAAATTTAAAGTGTGTTCTTGTTCTTCCATGTTCTTCTATGAGCTCTCTCCGGAAATAAGAAGGGCCAACAATTTGATGTGTTATACTGTTGCTTTTAGGTTTTAATCTGAACACAAGTGCCTAGAGCTTATCTTCACTAGTATTCTGTGTGTAAAGCAGTGTCAGATGCCACCAAGGCATCCTAAACAGCCTATTGGCAAGTCTAACTTCTGTGTTTATCCACCCATAAATATGTCTGTGTTTCTACCCCTCTGTGGTCGCCAGTGCGTCATCTCTGGGTTCTATCCAGCTCATAGACATATTTTATATGGCTTGTCCATTTGATTAAAAAAAATCTATGAATTGATTTCCAATATTTGAAAATTAAGATGTTTTGCATGAAAATATGAGGATTGGCAAATGGACATAGGCGGACCAGCAACCCCGAAGACACACTCCTGTGGGTTACCTCTTGGCTAGAGGTGAATGGTCACAGCCCCTATAGGTACAGAGTGGCAGTCTGCTACATCGCCACTGTTCCTGTTATATTAGTTTTGGTCATCTGTGCTTATTTGTGTCACCTGTTGGTTCCTATAGACAGATTTGAGACCTACAAATGTTATAGATAAGGGTGACCTCGTAATTAATTTTCCAAACTGGAACACTTTGAGAGTTAAAAAAAAAAAACAAACACAAAAAACGGGATGCTCTTAATCATTACATCATGGCAGTAGGCATAAACCAGGACTGTCCCAGGCAAACCAAGATATATGGTCTCCATATTTATCATCCACTTCAATTGACTAAGGAAAAAATTGAGACCTAGAAGGAGGAAGAAAATAACTATAGTAATTACCTAGAAAACCCATGGCCAAGCCGCCCTAAATACCCTGACTCCCAGTCCACCATTTCTCCAAGATAATATGTTCAATATAACATGTACAAGCACTGTATATTCCTTGATGCGTGGACTTTTTAAAGTTAATAGTTGGGGGCCTCCCTGGTGGCTCAAGGGGTTAAGACACAGCACTTTGAGGCTATCCGCAGCCACTACAGCAGGAATTCGATCCCCAGCCAGGTAGCTGACCCACACGGCACAGCAGACCGCTCCTGTCTTGCGCACCGCTCCCCTCAGCAGTGTATTTTAGTCAGTCTGCCTGTTCTGCTCCCCACTCTGTCTCTGGTGACTCCTCTGGCCTGTACCCTCCCACACCTCTGGCCTGTACCCCAGTTCTTATGTGCATAAATAAATAAATCTTAAAAAAATAATAAAGTTAATAGTTTTCCCAGAAGCAATTTCCTGGGAAAATGTACAAATTGGTAGCTTATATCAATAACATTTGTATTACAAATATAATTAATGACCTGGGGGTTGGCACATCTAGAGATGTTTAAAGCATTGGTAGGCTTGAGAACTGGATGGTATGTGAGCCTTAGAGACCCTTTTAGCTGTTCCTGAAGACTTAGGCCAAAGATTGGTCTGAGAAGTTTCCTTCAGGGTGCCTTTTTCCAATGCCCCACTCTTCTCCCACTTGTCCTTCCAAGAGCACTTGCAAGCAGCAGATCATGCTTACTATTTCAGCTGTACAAGATGGAGGAACCAAAACCTAAAACAGAACTAGCTTACATCACCAACTCCATGCTTCCCTTCCCTTGGAAGGGAAGCCCAATTTTGCTGTGGAGATAATGCCAGGTATTCAGCCATTTAACTCTACTTGCTTAATTTGCTGTGACTCCATCTGTCTTATTCTTCCCTTGGAATGGATTCTGGTTCCAGTGAACTGTTCAGGTATGAGACCAATGCTCATACAGGAGGCATGACCAAGACACATTCACTACACGGGCCTTGTACGGTGAAGGAGAGCCAAGAAAATGTAAAGTGAGCCGGGGTCCCTTTTACCTGATCCCCTAATACCTTGCCCCTACACAGCACCCTCTAATGCCCTTGGGGAGCTGCTTTTTCCTTAACCTTTGTTAGAGCTGCTTTTCTATGGTGGTGGTGGGGGGGGGGTGGGGTTTGACAGAGAAGAGGACCAGTGACCAACCATGATCTTTAAACTCAAAACCTAAGCTACACATAGATAACTTTTTCTCTGACATACCCCTGCAAACTAACAGGAAAGCTGCTTTTCTTTTTTTTTTTTTTAAAGATGTTTTTATTTATACAAGAACCAGGGTACAGGCCAGATGTGTGGGAGGGTGAGAGGATTTACCAGAGACAGAATGGAGAGCAGAACAGGCAGATGAACCAAAAACATTGCTGAGGTGAGAAGCGGGCAAGACAGGAGAGGTCTGCCCTGTCATGTGGCTATCTCCCGGGTCGACCAAGATCGAACCCGCACTGCAGAGGCCACGGACAGCTTCACAGCACTACGCTCAACCACCTGTGCCACCAGTGAAGACGGAAAGCTTATTTTCTAAATGACCTAGATGCTTATGCATGAAACATACCCCACAGAGACTGCAACCTGTGGCTACTGGACTTTTGAAGTGTTAATATTTTGGCCATGGTGGTTTTAGTGAAAAATATTAGTAATTTCATTTGGGTTTTTCAAACTCTTTCGATGTAATTACTAGAAAAATTAAAATTACCTATTACTCACAAAATCTTTCTATTGTACAGTTCAATTGGAGAGGCCTAGGTCGCACGCATAAAGGAAAAAAGGTTCAGTTACACCCTTAGTACCACAGTCACCTTTTACCATCACAAGTCTGCTAGTTGTTTGGCATTTTGCTAGTTGTTTCCTAGTACAACTTTCTAGTTGGTTAGTAAGGCTTCAGAACAGTAGAGCTTATACAGAGGTATAAGAACTATCAGGGCCTTTACAGTTACCTTGATGTGGGAACATGGTAGAAGCATTCAAGAACTTCTTTCTCTAAATCAGGCTAATTTTTGGAAAGGCAAACCTCCTCCCTCACATCTTCCAGTGTTTTGATTCTTGCCAACTCTTTGGCCCTCAAAGCCCCCAAGGGGCACCTCCTCAACACCAGCCTTTATGCTTCTATGTCATATCATGCAGAAGGTACTTGGGCCCATGCAACACCAGCTGTGGGTGCCATATGGAAAAGCCATACCATATACATATGTGCATGGTATTTCTGAAGCCAAAAGAAATGTAGAACAGTGTGTAACTGATCTAGTGCTATCTTTCCCTAGCCCTTGAAAATTTTAATCATTGAAATATCTTTAAGCTATAAATAGAATCATGTGAGGAAATGAATCCATGTTAAAACCAAATATGTACTTTTGTTTTTATATGGCCCCAGGACTGTGTATGGATGTATGAAAATGTAGGTTGAACGTTTGGATACAGATGGGTTAGATTTTCCAATAAAATACGTGGAGAAGGATGAATACATGAGTGGAGATGGTGTGTGTCACTCTGCTCAAGCAGGGATTTTCATAGTGAAGCGGAGAGAGTCCTGGGTTTGCTTCCACCAAGTTCAGATGCAGAGGTCACTAAGATCGCTGCCAGAGATTGCGGGGAAGGTCATTCTCTTGAGTGAACCCAGCCTTGGCAATGTGCCGCTGCCTTCCATACCACAATGAGCATGAGCCATGGCCCACGGAGGAAGGCACCAGTGAGTCAGGCTTCAGGCATTGTTTTCTTTTGGAGTAACCTTTCCTTCTTTCCCTTCCACCTCTTCTAGGCAGGACAGGGCTGCTTGCTGATCTCTTGCCCAGTTTTGCTGTGGAGATAATGCCAGGTATTCAGCCATTTAACTCTACTTGCTTAATTTGCTGTGACTCCATCTGTCTTATTCTGCCCTTGTCACTAATTGCTCCTTTAATTATCTATATGTCTATATGTGTCTGTGGTCTTTTCCAGGATGACCTGAGACCATTGGAAGAGACTTGAAATTGTATTCCTTCTGTCACTAGGCCCTAAAAGAATAACGATAAACAAAAATAGGCTGAGAGGGGGATCCAGTCCCTCAGTGTCATGCATGCAAGCTCTCTGGCAATCTCCATGCCTGTCTAGGTATTTCAGCTGTACCCAGAAAACTATAAGTACCCTTAACAGAATCGTTATTTATCTGCATTCCTTATTCCCTGAGTTACATGTTCACAATGTTTACATACAGCCATGTAACTCTGAATTACCTTTTATAACTTTATCATAATATTTTTCAAACTTTATAAAAGCTATATAGCCCTCATTCCTTGAAAAGTATGGATTTATGGGGCACATCTTGGCCCCTCCCAGGTACCTTATACCTGGGAGTCATTCTTCTTTGTCCTTTTTTCCTAAAATAAACTTTTCTTTCTAAGACAAAAAAAAAAAGAAAGAAAAGTATGGATTTACAGATTTAAGTTGCTTTGCATACAACTTCAGGGACTTCTTGGGTCCCCTAAATCCCTGAGTTCCCTGGACCATATGTCAAAAACACCTCCCCAAATGCACACCTCTGCCTTTTTATGTGGCTTAGATTGGACACACCAGTGTAGACAAGCAGACGGTAGTTTGGCAGAGCACAGTAGTCACCTGAATGGAAGGAGTCTCAGAGAGAAATCCAAATGACCTATGGCAGAGGGCATATCCAAACTCAGGGAGTTGGAAAGGGTATGATTCAATCTTGCTTTGGAGGGTTTCTGCCAAAGGTTTAAGAACTGCCTAATAGTTGGGAACAACAAAGAGATACAGAAATATTCCTAGCCATTGATTTCATCTTGATTCAAGTTTTAAGAAGCATCCAGAATCTTCACAGTTGAACTTCACCAATTATTCTTTGATGAGTTCTCCTTGCCCTTTCCCATTAGTTGCCAGCCAGATGCAGACAGTCTTCTTATTGATGTTGGTCCCAAGGACACAGATAGAAACTACTTTGTGATCCTCTTGTCCAGAGTTCCATTTTATATATATATATGTATATATATATATTCATCACATACATACAGACACATGCACACACACACAATGTTACATTGCATTGTTTCAAACTAGATGTTGTATCTCCCAGTATCCCAAAAAAGAGTTACTGTACTTTTCACATTTGGTACTGGGGCGCCTGAATTTCCCTCCCACTGTACTCCTGGAATCCTTTCATAGAAAACGTTCTTTTGTTTCTCCAAGGACCTGCCAGTCCTCTTTTTTTTATAATTTAACTTTTAAATTAAATTTATTTATTTGTTCTTTTAAATGATGTAACATTAGGATCCTGCCCATCAGGTGTCTCCACCATTGTGCCCCCACCACCAAATTACCACTAGACCACCTGCCAATCTTTTATCCTTGAAGACCTGGTCCATGTTGTAGCTTAAACTCCACGTAGTGCTTCTCATTCTCACGGTTCTTATCTGTCTCAGGCTACATTATATTACTCTGTTATTGCTATTATCCCTGTTATTGCAGGGAGTCCTCAGCTCTCTTTTGTCCTGAGCAAAGAATGCCCTCCAGACTGTTCTAGCCAGGCACACCGCCTTCTCATTTCCTCACTGAGGGGAGGTGGACCTGCTGAATTTGAATGGATTTCAGATGCATGTGTGGAGGGATTTTCAGGAAACATATGTTGTTTGTTTTTCCTCTGAGGAAAGTATATTCTAAACAAAGGTCAAATAATTCTACCATTATCACAAAACTCTTTATATAGCAAAAATGCCAAATTCTCAAGCACCAACTGAATGTCCACTTAGTGGAAGGAATATTTAATAAACAAAACTCAAGAAACAACACTTACGTGAAGCTCATTGTGAAGGGAATTTGGGGCAGATAACTTTCAATCAAAATGAGTCACTTTAATCTTTCGACTTTTTAAAGGAAAGTGTGTCTCACTGTCATCTGTCCCCGGGCTCCCCCAGTGGGAAGTTGGGTCCTATAGCCAAGTCCCAAAATCATGACATATAGGCCAGTCACTGTAGAGCCACAGCCATTTTTATCTAAGCAAATGGAATGTTACTTTTTAATCTTTTGGGTGGGCAAATGAAGGTGAATTCCTGTTCAGTGCTGGCAGAACTTTGAAAACAGCAGATGTAGCCAGATATACGCACATCCACCCTGCCAGTCATGAAGCCATGAGCCCCTTTAGCCTTGGCACTGCTGGCTCACTAGCACGGTCACCCTGAGTGTGATCAACCAGACCACCCTTGGGACAGAGACAGTGTCTTCTCTATCTGAGACTGTCTCCGGTGTTTCCCAGTGGGGAAACACCCACTGTCTATAGTTGGGTATGCAGGCATAAGCAAAAGGCTTAATCTCAGCCCTGATGATGAATACAGGAAGGCGTTACAGGATGGCCACTTAAATATGCTTGGATTTGGACCAGGCAGACATCGAGAATTTTTTCTCAGGGTTACACTTTTGACTTACAGTCAAGATTAACTTGACTACAAAAGAGATATATTCCAGGACTCACCAGTTCAGAATCAAGCAAGCAAAACTCCCTTCCCCGCAGCCAGGAGTCCTGCTCTTGGCCTTCCTTGTCCTGACACTATAAAAGATTTGGTAAACCCTTTCCCTAAGAGGGGTCCCTGAAGCTCCCCCATTATGCTTTGTGTTCGTCATTATGTGAGCTCAGCATGACCCAGGGAACCTTCTTCCTTCTCCACGTCCAGCCCTGGGAAGTGTTCTGTGTTCTCACTCCAGAATTCCTCCTGAGTTTGGTGGGGGATGACAGGGAGGGCTCTGTGACAAGATGCTTCCTTCCCCGGGCCCCATGGGGTGAGCGTGCACCTGGCCTGCCTGTGGGCCACCTTGAGCGTGGATTTCTCTGTGCGTCCTTGCAGAGTGGGTATTTGTTGGCCTGGTGATCCTGGGAGTCTTTCTCTTCTTCGTCCTGGTGGGGATCTGCTGGTGCCAGTGCTGTCCTCACAGCTGCTGCTGCTACATCCGCTGTCCCTGCTGCCCGGAGTCCTGCTGCTGCCCTCAGGCCTGTGAGTACAGTCACCAATGGGAACAGACCCAGGGTTGAGAGAAACGTCCTCTCTGTCAGGCAGCTGTGTGCCCTGAGTCCCTCCCTTACCTTCGTCCTTCCCCAAAACTCAGTCATTCCAGACTCCTTCCTCTGCTCGGAGCCCCCAGCTCCCAGCAGTGACCATCCTGTCTGCCTTCTCACCCCCGTGCATCCCTCCATGTTTCTTATCCACACCTGTCACCCTGTACTTGGAATCCCCATGGACACTAGTGACGACAGGAAGGGCCAGTTCAGGATGGTGAGGTTGTGCAGTCAGGCTGTGCCCTCTCCTTGGGGGCATTCAGACTGGAGCCTCCATCTCTGGTCATGCCGTGCACAGGCAAGGAACCTGCCTTCTTTATAGCAGCATGTGCAAAATGTGCTTTTGGGGACCATCCAGCCACAGATGACTTTTATTTACTCCCATGACAAAATGGGCCACAGAGGCACTCGTCCTCACTTAGTGATTCACAGTTTTGCTTTACCGGCCAAGCCTGTAAGTGTTCAATTTGGCAAACCTGCCATGAGGCAAACACAGCTTGAAGGAAGGAGACACATATATGTCTTTGGTACCTTGAGTAGAGCGGTTGGCATGAGTCAGTGCTTTTGAGATCACAGAGCAGGGCCAGGTGCACGTCCACTGCCTGCTGGGCCTCTCTAGAAGAGGGCCAGGATCCTCCCAGAAGGGGTCCTGGGCAACCCGGGTGCCAGGCCTCCTCCAGAGGGGGAAGGCAGCCAACAGGCAATGTGGATAAGAGTGGGCTGCTGCTGTCACTGAGGCGGCTGCTGTGACAACTCCCAGAACCGCTTAATTACTCGGTTGCCAGGTACTAAACACTGTAATTCCGTATGTCGGTGCTTTTCAGCAGAGCTGGAGGAGTCCAAGAAAGTGGGGGAGAGTGGTTCTAATGAATCAATTCAGGTCTAGGTGAGTGCACACTTTCGTGTGCTCATGCACACACACACACATACACACAGAGGCACACACCTGAGCCTCCCTAAAGTACATCCTCAGGGATGTTTGGTCTGAGGGTTGTGGAGGGTGGGACAATATAATCTCTTTTGCTCTTCATCTCCTTCCACAGTGTATGAAGCAGGGAAAGCAGCAAAGGCCGGGTACCCTCCCTCCATCTCCGGTGTCCCTGGCCCCTACTCCATCCCCTCTGTCCCCTTGGGAGGAGCCCCCTCATCTGGCATGCCGATGGACAAGCCGCACCCACCTCCCCTGGCTCCGAGTGACTCCACTGGAGGAAGCCACAGTGGTAAATGTAGTTCCAGACCTCCCTGCCCCATGCTGCTCTCGGCTTCCGCTCTGCTTCTTGCTGATAAGAACCATCAGCTCAGTGATGCTTCTTTAGGAAATGATTGTCCCACGACAGACCCTCGCAGCTCTACTACCTTCTGGAGTGCACAGCAGGCTTTCCAGGGGCAGCAGGCCCCTGCTTTCCCCCCACGCTCCCTCATAACTAATATGATAAGCGCAGAGGCATGGTTCCCCTTGAATGTTGGCCACTCAGTTCATAACTCTGACCTCCCTGCCTAGTGCCCAGGTCTGTGGCAGATTCCATGACGGCCACCAACTGTAGGACCTGGTTTGTGTCATATGCAGCATGCCCCCCTCAGGGAAAAGAAGAATGGACTTTCTTTTTTAGGATGATTAGATGCTAAAGGGATGGTGCTGGGAATTCAAAGAGAAAGAGCGGGAGTGGTTTAAAGTCGTGGGGCGGAGGTGAGATTTGAGCTGTGCCTGGAGGAATGAGGATTGCTAGTATGAGGGACAGGTGCTGAGCACCCACATGAAGCCAGCTTGGCAGAAGTATGGAGCCACAGAACACAGTGTGGCCGGGTCTGACTTGCCTGACCTGATCAGAAGAGAGCAGAAGGGTGTGTGGAGCCAGAGTGGAAGGGCCTTGAAACCCCTCCAGAAGGTCTGGGGCTTGGTGCCATGAGTGAGCGAGGAGCCAATCAATGCAGGCAGATCCCCGGGTGGAGAAGGTGGCCTGTTGACAAGGCCAGTGACAGTGACGGTGGAGGAACAAGGCAGCAGAGACCACAAGCTGAGATGTGACTGAGGTAGTTCCGGTGGGACTTGTGAGCTCCTGAATGATGATAGAGAAATGGGAGTTGAAATGAGTGGGTGAATCTGAGAGATGCTTTGAAAGAGGAAACAATAAGACTTTAGGAAATGAAGTGAAGGGAGGCTCCAGATGACTCCGCTCTGTCTAGTGCTACCGATCACAGATGGAAATGAAATCACTGCTAAGGAGAGCTTATTTGGGTGAAGATTAGCACCTTTGGGGGGCATGATGAATTTGTGGTTATCAACAGGAGTAGAGGAGAGAGAGCCTTTAAAGCGGCTTTCTTGGAGGCCTCCCAGGATGACAAGATGGTGAAGATTAGGATTATGTGTGTAGAAGATTTAGAAGATCGTTTCTTAAAGCTCTTGACGTGAGTGTGCCCCTGGCAGTGTCTGGACTGCTTTCAGTGGGGGTGGAGATGTGCATGCACCCACTTAGTGACCTGTCAGGGCCCAGCGGTGGAAGAAATGGAGATCCCCAGTGAGTAAGTGCTATTGTGTTTTCCTTCTCTGGAGCCATGAGTAGAATTCTGACTTTGGAGATTGGGAATAAGTTACAGACTCAGAAGTAAAAGTTAACGATCAAGGACACAGAGGGAATTAGAGATGAGGATGACATAGTCCATTTCCCCACAAGATGGTGAGGACACTAATGGAATGAGTCTCACACACTTTACTTGCTGATCTCTCTTTTTTCCCTCTTCTTCTTCCCTCCCATCAGAACTTTCCCTCTTCTTATTTAATGGATTCTTACCATGAAATGATTCTTATTTATAGAGTGACTGATACTTCTCTCCTGTTTTCAGCCTTTTTCCAGTTTCTACTGGTTGCAGTTAAATCATTTTGGCCCCAGCCTGCCATACTAACCAAAGGCAATTAAAAATCACTTGAAAAAAAAGGGCAATGTCTTATTTGTTTCACATAGCAAAAAACCTTAAGGTGGGGTGGCTCTAAAGTTGGTCAGTTGAACAGTTCACATGCCATTGCTGCAGGACCTGATTCTTCCTATCTTTTGTCCTGTCATCCTGAGCATCCTCTGTCCTCCTAGGCCAGCTCCCCTTGTGACGCCATGATGACCAGACTTCCAGCAGCTAAATGCATTCAGAAATGGAAAAAGACATGTTTCCCTCCAGCTTCCACAGTCCTCTCCTTACAATGTTATTGGCAAGAATTCTGGGTTCTGTGCCCATTCCTAAACCATATTGGCTCAGACTAATCAAGCTTATCTCTTAAGTCTAAACACCTAACCACCTTGGAGAATAACAAAATCAGGGTTCTGGTAACAAGGAGAGAGAGGAAGGTAACAGCCAGTGTTGGCCACAGCTAGTCTGGCCCATGTTATCATTATCTGGCTGGTTGAGTCAGGACAGAGTTCTTCACAATTCTCCTCCCACCCACCCCCAGCCCCCAAGGAACATGTCTGTACACTTAGTTTCACAGGCAGAATTAGTGAGAATGATACAATGATATAAGAAGATTTTTTTTTTTAAAAAGGTGACTTTGGCCATTGTTCCATGTAGGTTATTCTTTAAAGAATGTTTGTAATGTTAAGAAATGCTGATTTATAAAGATGTGAGTTTAGCCTATTTTATATTTATATGCTACTTCAATTTTAGGGTAATCATCTAGCAACAGTCATTTTCCAGATTACATTTGTACACAATACACTTTTGAACATTCTGTGCATTTGAAAGGCATCGTTGATGAGCTATGTATAGGATAACCACTTGATTACCAGTTGGGAGAGAGATAAGAGGCACCCTGATTCCTTCTCCCATTCTTCATAGCAGCTCCTTGAGACCTCTGTTACAACAAAAGATCCTGCTCTGCTCTGGATCTGTCCCCTTCATGGTTGTCAAGTTTCTCGCTATATTGAATATCCACATGCTTCTCTGTTCTCACCTCACAACTGCAGCCTTTCCTTCTTGAGTGACTCCTTCCTATTAGCTTTCAAAATATGCTCAGATTTCTCCCATTGCAATACAATTATAAAAACTTTGTCTTCTGATGTTACTTCTCTTTTTTTTATAGCCCTTTTCATAGCCAAACTCCTTGAAAGAGTTTTGAATATTTAATGTCTCCATTTCCTCAGCTTTCACCTACTCTTCAACTAAATTCTGTTCTGTTGCTTTCACCACTCCAAAAACCAGCTCTTGCCAAGTATGCCTTTTTGCTAAATCTAATAGATACTCTTCAGATCCTTTCCTCCTTTGACTTCTCAAAAGCATTTGCTATCTATCCTTTATCCATTCATCTTGCTCGGCCTTCCTCCACTCTGGACTTTTGTAATTTTTCCACTTATCTTGCTGTGTCCAGGATGTTCTTCCTCTGTCTATCTCCAAGATATTGGTGTCCTCTCCCTGGGAAATTGTATCTATGCCTGCAGCTTCAGTCCTCATTGGTATGCTGATGACTCCCAACCCTATCCTCTTTTCTCTTCTTCAATGCCACATAGCCTGCTGCCTTCTAGACAACTCCACCAGGATATCTTGAGGGCGTTTTAAACTTACCCTGAAGGAAGTAGAATTAATCTATTGTTTCTCAATTTCAAACCAGCTCCCACATTTGTTATCTCAGTGGATGACACCCTTTTTCATTTAGTAACCCAAGCCAGAAACTGGGACTTCATCCTTATCTCTTCCGCTCTTCCCTCATCTAAGAGGTCCCCAAATCTTGCTGATTGTACCTCAAAATAACCTTGAGTTGGTTTCCTTTCCTCCATCTTCATTACAACTCTCCTAGTCTTTGATATCATTGTCTCCCCCTTTGATTAATGTAGTTACCTTCTATTTGGTCTTTCCACATCAACTCTTACCTTGCTCTCTCATCCTTTTAATTTTCATATCTACCTGGCCTTCACAGATACTTCTTGCAAAAAGAATTGAGTAGGCAAGCAGGGTTTTAAAATGTCATTTTCAAAACTAATAAGGATGTGTGTGTCTATATATATATGCCTACTGTATGTATACAGAGAATATGCAAATTTTAAGCATCACTTCTCCCACAACTGCTGCCACCCTGGGGGTGGAATCTGGCAGCTGTTCCATTACCCATAAACAGCCTTACTTTGCTCATGAACACAGGACAGGAGGAGTAAGGCTACGTCCATGCATATCTGCCTCAAAGAGACTTTATCTGCCAAGTTTTATACATTGGATTTAACTCTTAGTTGGAAATTAGCTGAAAAATAGTAGAGCCTTAATTGGGTCAGAAGTATCAGATCAGGGGGTATAGCTCAGTGGTAGAGCATTTGACTGCAGAAGTATCAGATCAAATCCTTTTAACAATAAGAATTTCTGAAATTACAGTTTGGCATCAAAGTGAATATCCCAATATCCTCTCTCAGTAAAATCAAAGTTGCCAATGCTGATAATAAATTAGAGGAGTTGAAGTATGAAGAGCCATCCTCAGCCAAGGACTTAGGCCACACTGAACTTGAAAAGAGAAAATAAATCATCCATCAACCCTAAACTAAAACATCACTGAGGAAAAAGTCATTTCCCCCAAAAATGCGAAACTAGGACCTTTCTCATCAAAATATCACCACACATCAGAGAGTTCTCTGGTCTTCAGACAAATTACAAATAAAAATCAACCTGACACCACCCTATTTGTTTTCAAATCAAGAAAAATTTAATGGGTGCTTACAAATTTCCCCTCAAGGAATTTATTGTCTAGCAGAGTGTTTTCTGGGTTCTGGTGAATAGAAATAAAATGAGCAAAAATTTCTTCAATGCAATATATGGTAAGACTGTTCTCAGAGAAGGAAAAGTCTCATCTGCTTGGTGGGATCGTGAAATGTTTTCTGGTGTTTTATCTGCCCTGGAGTGCAGCTGTCACACTCAGCCAGAGTCTACCAAGATGAGAAAATTAATTCTAGTGTGCAGCAAACCCAAACCCATAACAAAACCAAGTGCAACAGCTCTGAAAAGAACTGCTTTGCTTTTTAGTTACTGAAACCAAGTGAATGATATCTCTAAAGTCTAAGGATCAATACTTTGCCTCTGTTTTTTTTTTTTTTTTTTTTTTTTTTGACAAATTAGAGGGATTTTGCTCTCTGAAGTCAAGGGCTGGTATGAGTGAGCAGTCAAAGCTAGTACAGTGGAGTCTCAGCAGTATTAAGACAAAACTGCCATCCTCATTGGAGGCTGTAAAGTTACTATAGCTTTTCAGGGACATGATAATCTATAAATACATAATCAAATCTGCCTCTTAAATGAGGAATGTAATTTGTTATAATGACACAGAAAACAATCTAAGCTCCGGTTGAAGTTGCTGTTAACAGATTTCCAGCTGTCGCTCAGGATGGCGGCCATCTCTCACTGCCAGGGGACAGCTGGTACATTGTCCCACATGACACCACTTCCCACTCCTCTCCCCCATTTCATTATTACCAAATGCTTAGCATATCTCTGCTTCATATATTAAGGCCACCTAAATAAAGCCATGGCTTCAGGTAGACTGGATCCTACGTCTAATGCCTGCAAACATAGTCGTTTTCTCTACTTAAAAAAGAATCACTAGTAATAACAGGAAAATTTATCTAAACTTTGCTCTTCCCTCAAGCTGCCATTCAAGTGTTCCCCTACCTGGTGAAAATTCTCCGACAAACCACCCACATAGCTTCTTCTGCCTTACTTTGTAATCCCTTATAACATAGCTTCTCTTCCGATTTCTATTTCCGAATTCATTCATTCATTCAAACATACATTTTAAGCGTCTACAGTATGCTGGGCTCTCTACTAGGTACTAGGGATGGAGATACAGAGAACTGGTCCTTGTCCTCAGGAACTTAATAGTTTAGGGAGGGAAATACTAATGAAAATACTTTCTAAAGAAATCTTTAACCCTATCCCCATCCTCAAGCTAGAGCTCAGCAAACATTTATTAAGTGGACTTTACACTGATCCAGAATGATAAGGATTCCTTTCCTCCAAGAATCTTTGGGGGAGTTTGAAACCAGCTAGACTATACTTAGGGCCATAATGAAGGTTCCAAGTAAATGATTTGTAAGGTAGGAGCCAAACGCAGAGAAGAGAAGCAGTAGAACTTTTGTAGCTACTAACATCGAAGCAAGCCTTTTGGATGAAGCGACGTTGGGCCGACCTTAATAATTACACAGAACTCCAAGTGCTCTGCTGATTTGATCTTTGTTTCTTCTCTTCTTTATGAGATCACTGAAAGGGTGAGGAGTATTAGTCGTATTTTTTAGACATGAAAACTGAATCCCAGGTAGGGGCCATTGATTTGAAGTCCCTAATACACCAGAGCATGCCCACAAGGTGCCAGAACCAGACTCCCAGCCCTGTGTTTCATCCATCAGACATAACTTCCTCGGAACAGACAGAGCATTTCCGTGGGATAATTGCATTTTAATTGAACTGTCTGTACTACTCTGTAAACGCCTCTGCAGAGATTGAAGAGGGTGTAGCTTGATAAATAAAATCATTTCTGCTAATAATTGCTTCTGCATAAGGATTATGGATCTAACCTCCAGGAGAAGGTGCCACTAAGAAGCGTGTACTTCATGGCATTTTTTAAAAGTAATTCCACAGTTTGAAATGAATGTGGACTGCCCAGCATGTTCTCAAATAGAAAGTCAGTGCACCTGCGAATGGCTGTGTGGGTGGCTTCTCAGTCTTCAATGCCAAGGCTGTGATTAGAGTCTGGAATATTATATTTTAATCTTTCATGTACATGGCTTGTGTGGGAGCTTTGACCAGGGTAACACAATCAGAGAAGGGAAAGCAGGATTTTCTCCAGAGGCACGTGCAGTGATGTGACTTCTTGGTGGTATCTGCCTGACTTTGGGAGCAGACGTTGTATGGTCCTAGCAGACTGGAAGATGGGGCCATGCCCAGACCATACCACCCACAACCCTATTACAAGCATTTTCTACCCCGGACTCTGCTTTTTCCGCTTCCTTTTCTATCACTCTGCACTACCTCTGTTCCTTAACTCCAGAGAGGCAAGATGTCCAAAATGGTTAGACCTCAGTATTCCTGAGCAAGTTATAAAACCCACCTGAGCCAAAGTTTCCTCAACCATAAAATGTAGCTAAAAATAGTAACTTCCTTAGGTGGTTGTGAGAAGCAAATGTGCAAAGCACTTAGCCCAGTATCTCGTGCATTTTCAATACCCAGTAAGTATTGTCTTGCCATTACTGTTCTGTTCCCATCCCCTTCATTCCCTGCTTGCTTTTCCCCTCTCCCTCTCGTCTGTGAAGATTAGAACTGCCTGTGTCTGGTCACCCGTGGGGCTAGCATTGGACTAAACTGGTACTTCAGTGATACAGGGCTTGTCAGCCTTTGTCCCTGCCAGGATGAATGATGGGCATGTGGGTAATGGTATTATCTGTCATGCTTTAGCTTTGTTTTTTATTAAGTTCTGAAAACAACACCTGCTTGGAACCACGTAGCAGCAGGTTGAATTAATCATGTCTAAAATATGATATTCTCTTTCCCAAGAGGAAAGTGCTAAAGAAATAAAATGAAACCCCATTGCTAGTGATCCATGGATTTTTGCATCTTATTTTCTACTAATGATATATATCGTGTCATGTAATACTAACTCTCATGGACCACCAAGTTCTAGAATTTTCACATCATCTCCCAGGCAACTAGAGGCTTCCAGGTTACCTATGTCCCAGCCCCTGTTGTTTGGGTATCACATGTGCCCCCACCAAACAAAGGCGTGCTCTTCACACAACAGAATGATCGAGAAAGTGGACTTTGTAGCATGAGTAGACTTCCCCATGCTTTGAGAAGGTGAGCTCAGCATGGAACCATCGCAGTCCAGAGATACAAAGTAAAGATTGACAAATGACTAAAAATACTGTAAGAGACTTTGGTGGCTGGCCTGCTAGTCCCCATTCCAGTGGAACCATCTGATAATGGGGCTCTCAGATATGGTTCCATATGGATAAATACAGATTACTCTTTCTGGCTGGTTTCAAAAAGAATAATTGTTTAAGTGAGCACTATTTTTCTATAGGGTAGAATAAACAGGCTTCCTTGCTCTGATGCTTTCAACTTACCTGCTTGTCCTTTTCCCAACAGTTCGCAAAGGTTATCGGATCCAAGCTGACAAAGAGAGAGACTCCATGAAGGTCCTATACTATGTCGAGAAGGAGCTGGCTCAGTTTGATCCAGCCAGAAGGATGAGAGGCAGATGTGAGCATCTTTCAGTTTTATATGATCTGTGCCTCCTGCAGGGGTTCCTAGCTACAGGAGATTTGGGGGAGTTCCAAACTTTGGCAGCCCCAAGCATTCAGAGTCAAAACTTTAACATGAGCACTGGTGACATCATCCTGAAGAAAGTAGTTCTGAGAACAAAGAGGGGAGGAAAGGGGGCATCAGGTATAAAGTAGCATATCGGGTATCACCCCAGTTTATGGTGTGTCTCTCCACAGGGCAGCCAGTGCTGCTGAGGCCGTGCAACCCTGGGGTAGGAAATGTTTTATTAAGAGTCTTTTCCTACTACTCCCTCTAAAATATCTTCAAAATAGTGACTTAAGATATGGAAGCTTGAGTATCAATTTTTCTTTCTTTTTTTTTAAAGATTTATTTTATGCATACAAGAGCTGGGGTACAGGTCAAAGGTGAAGGGGAGGGGGGTGAGAGGATTCCAGAGACAGAATGCGGAGCAGAACAGGCAGATCTACTGAAATACACTGCTGAGGAGAACGCGGGTGAGACAGGAGAGGTCTGCTGTGCCATGTGGGTCACCCCCAGCTGGGGCTCTAACTCCTGCTGCAGTGGCTGTGGGATAGCTTCATAGTGCTGAGACTTAACCCCTTGTGCCACTAGAGAGACCCTCGAGTATCAATTTTTCAAACATGAAAGGGGCCCTAGCATTGAACAATCCAGCTGCTGACTTGCTTCATGGAGGCCTCAGTGACAAGACCAGTCTGCCAAGTGACTCCCGAAGAGAGACCTACGTTCCAACAGCAATCACTAAAGGGCAAACAAAGAGGTGACCTCTCTTGCCAAAGGAACTTTTCAATTACTGAGGCTGCAGGTGGCGGTGCCCCAACCCCTAACCCCAGCCCTTGGGGACTTTGCAGCTGACTCAGCTGGTTCTTTGGGGAGAACTCCAAATTACCATCAGGAGAGGCAGCCCTGGGCTGGTCTGACATGGACTGCTAATTGTCAGAGAGGGCAGGAAGTGAGGTTGCTATGGCTCTCTCTTGGAACCCTCCTGCCTTGGAACCAGTGACAGGCTTGATGGAATTGTTGGGGAAACAGTCCCAGACTAGAGGAGCTTTATGCAGATTAAGGACAACATATTCCTCCCGGTTTGCAATTCTATATTCATCCTGTCTGAGTTGCATCCATTGCTGCATCCTCCCACCACACCGACTATAAAAAGACCATCTCCAGATTGGAATGTCAGGAATGCAGATGTCACTGCACTTGACAAGCTAGTTGTAACGGTGTTGTCATGGATCCCTGAAAGGGGACAGAGACAGAGATAGTCCAAGATCAAGGAGAAGGAGCCTTTGGAGGGAATCTGAGACTCTCACAGCTCAGAGAAAAAGTTTAAAACTAAGGTTATAACTAAGGAACAGAGCCTAGTTGAGATGGAATCTACTTGGTTACATGGTTTCCAGAGGCTTTGGGTATAAGGTCATAAGGTAATGGAATGCTAGCATACTAGGGGATTTTAGGGGTGGCTTTGGCCGCCCTTTGCCATATATAGAAAAGAAAACAGAAGCTCAGAGTGTCAAAGTGACAGAATCAGAATTAGTCCTTTGGTTTTCACACAAGAAACTTTGAGCAACTTTGTAGTGTGGTTTCTGTTGAGAGACTACAGTCGTCTAGCTCACAGGACTTTAGAATTCTGGAGCCAGAAGAGACTAAGTTATTGAATCCAGGAGGCAGAGAAGAAAGTAAACAGTGCCTTTATTCAGTGCCTGAGCAGAACTGGATCCCGCCTGCTGATATTATATTAACTGCATGGAGATGAAGCAGGAATATAGTTTGCATCACTTGGAGAGGTTCTATCACTGACAGCAAAACAAACCCTGGAGTGGATCATGGATCATCTTGTGGTTTCAGGTTGCCTCAGGAGGTCATAAAAATTGGGCAGTCTATAAGAATTGGGAGTTCCAGGATCTGGCACATGAATTTGCTAGCTATGATGACACTCATTGTCCTTGCCCCTTGTAAGTGGGGGGTTGCTCTTGGCATGTTTTTAATCTAGAATCCTTGTACAGGGTCATCAAACAACAGTTCCCAAGGTATACATATTCCACCTTCTCTTTTTGTAAGTAAGTTTTATTGGGACACAGTCACGCCGTTTCACTTCCATATTTTCTACAACTCTTTTCCATACTACAATGGCAGAGTTTAATAGCGGTGACAGTATGGCTTGCAAAATCTAAAATAGTTACTATCTTTCCCATAACAGAAAAGGTTTGCCTGTCCTGTCCTAGGGTTCCATAAATGGGTGCCTGCAAAGTGAGATGTTGACATCGTGTTTAGTATGGTAGAAATGTTAGTACTTCATACAACCTAGATAGTCCATTATTAACAATGGTAAAATAGAGAACACTCACTATCTGGAGAAATGGAAAAGGTCCAATATGCCCAGAAGTTTAAGGAAAGTTCTGAGCCAACAATGTGAATTTTCAGTAGTCTTACTTGGTACATTTTAAAGTTCTTTTCTGTGTGGAAATTAGAATTCTCTAATTTTCTGGATTATGAGAAAGGGATTATGAGAAAAAGAAGGTTCTCGATTTTATTAATCAACAGTGTATGAATTATTTTCCTTTAAAGTAAGCACAAACTAGTCCATTCTCCTTCAGAGGAAGAATAGGTTTAACAATTACAAAACCTACAAAAAGGTGTAAGAAGATGTCCAGCTGATCGCATGATCCTACAGAGTGTTATTCACAGTTAGCCCTGGGTCCTGGTGAAAACAAACCACAAGACTATGTTTATGAGGTAGCGGGGAGCCCTCTCCCCAGTTGGTGGGTAGGAACCAGCAAAAATTCTCTGCTCCTCCCAAGACTGTTGAAGCGAGGAGAAATAGAGGGGAATGTGAAACACACACAGGGCTTCCCGCAGCCTGTCTTGGCTTAACTCTCCCGGCACAGCCAGGCCTTATATCTTGTAAATGTTGATTTTGATAATATTTTGAAGTTCTAACCAAAGGATCTGAGAAAACAAATGGATTCAGTTACATTACAAATATATTCACTAGATTTATTTTTTAAGTAAAATGAAATTCAATCCACTTCAAAGTTCTATAAATAAGTTGTTTTTCTCCCTTCCAGATTGTGATTCCAGTACTTGTTCACAAGTGCTTTTGCAAAAAACTACTTAGGCCACCTTAGGAAATGAGAAAGCTTTGATTAGCCCCCCTTTACCCACTGACATTTTTGATTGGGGCAAAAGTACAAGTGCATCCCACCCCCCTTTTTCTCCCCATTCCTCCAAAACTGCCCTGACTGGCCCTGGTCATATATATACGTGGTGGCCTCTGGGAAATGGTGCCATTTGGGGAAGATATTCCAGGTTCCTGGATGAGCATCCAGAAGGGGCTGGATAGATAGTAGGTGTTCACATTCTTTGGCTCTCTGGACTCCTTGCTCCGTGGAGCAGGGCACAGCTGAAGGAGGTGGGATTGGGGTACTGCTAAAGCATGGGAAGCATGAGACAGTACTGGCTCTGAAGGCCCCATCCTGGGACATGGTCAGCAGTAGAGAAAATTCTCTGATCTATAGCTTCTCTCTTTTTGCCCCTTTTGACTCAGCATGCCTGGGATCCTCACAACTCTTCACAGAATTATACAAGAACATGAACACATTTGAACGAGAACAATGATGTACTAAGAGGAGGCCTGCTGCAGAGAGCCCCAGTTCTGGGAAGCCTACCTTAGGTGGAACGATAACAATTCTTTCCTATTCCAAGAACAGAGCATGTAGAAAGCCTCCCTCTCTATAGGCAAGTGGGCTTCTAGCCAGAGCACATTCCTGCTGAGCTAAGAATATAGTCACCACTAGGTGCAGGGTTACAACCCATCTGGACCAGACTGAGGCTCTCAGGTGGGAGTTTTCCAGACCTTCTGGTCTCAGCCTTTAACTGAGTTCTCATACTAACATGGAGAAAGCTGCCATGCCTGGTTCTGTCCCTACAGATAACAACACCATCTCAGAACTCAGCTCCCTACATGAGGACGACAGCAACTTCCGCCAGTCTTATCATCAGATGCGAACTAAGCAATTCCCCATGTCTGGGGACTTGGAGAGCAATGCTGACTACTGGTCAGGTGCCATGGGAGGCAGCACTGGGGCAAGCCGGGGGCCCTCAGCCATGGAATATAACAAAGAGGATCGGGACAGCTTCAGGCACAGGTGAGGAAAGCTGGGGGGAGAGGGGCAGTTTGGTGGTGGGTGTGAGGAAACTACAACTGGAGAGAGGGTGAATATGAGGCTGTTACTCAATAGCATCTCTGTCTCCCATTCTTGGTTACGCTGACACATCTCTTCTGAGAGCAATTGAACACCCCCTTCCCACCTTTATTAAGCAGGGGGACACTGTGACACCATGTGGAGAAGTAGTCATTCAAGGGCATCTGAAATGGGTTTTCTAGAGCCTTTGTTAAGATTTCCCTTTCTCATCTGTTTAATTCTGTAACCTCTTAAAAATGCCAGTCATCAACACCATCATTTGGGGTCATTTACTATGTGAATGGTAAAACGCCGAAGACTTATTGTTGAATTTAATTCTCCTAACTCTAAAGGCAAGAGCTCTGAATGATATTGTAAGTCAGGGACAGCAAAGCACAGATAATCAGGTAAACAATTTCCCCTGGGTCACATGGACAGTGAATGTGGGAAGCCAGAATTTGCATCCAGTTTTGTGTGGCTACATCCCCACTGAACTGCATCTTCCCCCACTGACCTGTCCTTCACCAGGAAGGACAGTATATACACTGCTTTTCTCTCAAACCTACCCACTGTGGGGGTCCCCTACTGCCCCACGGGTAGCCTGACCCTTGGCTCTGAGGGAGAAAAAAGCCTCTCTGTATGTCACCCAACATTACAGGGGCCAGTTGGACCACCACTGTGTGTGCGCTGCAAGCCACACCACCCTGCTGGCTTTGAGGGTTTGAGGAGCGCAACCAGAGATCATATAATAATAATAATCAGAAGGCTATGGGCACGTTTTTCAGCACCAGCTAAACACAAAGCATTTTTATCCACACAACTCCCTTTTGATCCAAACTCAAGAGAGCTCTGGTTTCCTTCACCTCACTGTTTTTTGTTTTTAATTATCTTATTTTATATAATTCTTACATCATTTTTCATTTTTGCACAATGTATGCATTTTCATTTTGGTTATAGTCCCCATACAATTCCCTCCCCACTTATTTTAACCCTAATCCTCATCTCCTCCCTCCACTTTACTGTTTGAGGTGCCCAAGATTATTCATCCAAGGAGGAGGAGAGAATTGTGTCTCATGCCTACGTCTCCTAGCCGTGTCCCAGAACACAGTGGGCTCTCTTGTTCCCCACCCTTGTTCCCGGCCCTATCCCAACAAGTACTGGCCACCTTGGTGTTGCCCGGCCACCTAATCAGTGTCGCCTCTGCCCGCAGCCAGCCACGGTCCAAGTCGGAGATGCTGTCTCGAAAGAACTTCGCCACCGGGGTGCCGGCCGTCTCCATGGACGAGCTGGCGGCCTTCGCTGACTCCTACGGGCCGCGGCCGCGCCGGGCCGATGGCAACAGCCACGAGGCCCGGACCGGGAGCCGCTTCGAGCGCTCGGAGTCCCGGGCGCACGGGGGCTGCTACCCCGACGGCTCGTTGGAGGAGTACTATCCGCGGAGCCGCAGCCGGGAGCCCCTGGGCGACTCGGAGCGCGCCTGGGCCTACAGCCCCGCGCGCCGGCGGCCGCCCGAGGAGGCGCACCTGCCGCGCCTGGTGAGCCGCACGCCGAGCGCGGTGCCCAAGTACGACCACGCGCACCGCAGCGGCGCGCCCGAGCGCCAGGCCCGGCCCGAGGGCGCCAGCCGAGGCGGGAGCCTGGAGACGCCCGCCAAGCTCAGTGCGCGGCTAGGCCCGCGCAGCGCCTCTTACTACGCCTGGTCGCCACCTGCCACCTACTCCTCCGCCGTGTCCGGCCACGAAGACGACGACGACGACGACGACGATGATGATGAGGCGGACGAAGCTCTGCCGCCCTACAGTGAGCGCGAGCTGAGCCGCGGCCCGTCCTACCGCGGTGGGCGCGAGCTGTCCTTCCACAGCAACTCGGAGAAGAGGAGGAAAAAGGAGACCACCAAGAAAACTGTGAGGCCGTGTCTGGCGCTGCTCCTCCAAGGGGGCTGAGCGGGGAGCCACCAGGCAGGGTCGCAGCCCTGGGGTGGGGGCTGGGGGGCTGGAGAGCTGAACAGGAGGGCCCCTCGCCACAGATGCCAGAGGGGGGCCTATGGAGGTAGCCGGGTTAGCCTGCTCTGGGGAGCACGGATAGCAGAAGTGATTGGTTCCCCCCTCACTCTGTAGAGAACAGGTGAATAAGTAGGGAGGGAGCTCTGGAGAGTTGAAAAGGGCAATGTGGAAAGTGTGTGGATCTTCAGTAAGTGCTCAAAGACTCCATCAGTTCTTGGAGACACTTTCAGCTTGATGACAGCATAATGAAACAAGCCCTCAAATAATGTCATTTGGTTCGGCATCATGTGGATTTTTTTTTTCCTCATCAACATTGTGATTAAACAACTTTATCTGAGGACCTGCTGTCAGATATTCTGTCATTAATGACCAGTTTGAAGATGCATTTAGCATCAGGGATTCTAGGCAAACATCAACACAACAGACCCTTCGGTGGGCTTCTGGGTGCAGAATGTTCTATGCATGTTTATGTGCTTCCTACTCACCCCCTACCTTCTTTGGATGAGAGTTTGTAACTTGTATGAAACTCCCACTTAATCATCTTTTGTAAGTGGCCGTAAGTAAAGTTTATTGCCTTCTCTCATAAGTGTCAAGAGCAGCCCATTCCATCCCTCAGCCCCAAACTGCAAGCTGTGCACCTGAGAACCATTGGGGACAGTCACAGAGGTTCACTATGGGTTATCAAATAGCCACTCCAAGGCCCTGTGCTTTTGCCTGTTCTCATTATCCTGCGTCTCCCACCATTTTGTTTTTCACAATTTTAAGCTGGACATTTCACTTAGTGTACAAAATGTGGGGAGAGAACATGAACAGAAAAAGGTTTTGACATTATTAATCCCTAAAAAAGCAACTGAATGTCTTTTGTTGTTTAAGTAGAAAAATGAGATGCTCTAAGTACCTTGAGTAGGGAAGGATCTTTTGGGTGATCTCCTTTATGGGGTATCACCCATACCTGTTGTGGTGCTGTAAGTGCTGTACTTAGCCCCAAAGGGGTAAGAAGTTATTCTGTGATCTTGGAACTAAGTTCCATCAGATGTATGTTGGCTTCAGCATCAGTCTAGTGAAATGTCCTGGGTCTCGGTGTGTCAGCTGTGAACAGACTGTGGACTCTTCTCAGGGAACCATCTGTTCTTTTGGACACTTTCTCTAATCAGCATGTGGTTTAACTTGGGCTCTTTCTGTTTTTCCTCAGAATGACTTTCCAACCAGGATGTCCCTTGTGGTCTGATGTTGTTTTCAAGACATCTCTCTGGATGACTGGAAATCACAAGCTGACTACAGGGATAAGACACAAATCCGAGAGCCAGTAGGCCTGGGACCTTTTCTGGCCACCGCCTGGGAAGATATGCTGATCTCTGCTTTGTCAAGGGATAGGAGACACCTTTGAGGGAAGTTGATTCCAAACCTCAGTGTCCATCTAACTAGTTTGAGAAACTTATCAATAAAACAACTATGCGTGAGAGAGTCCTCACACATGGTGTTTCGCACCCAGAGTTCATTCTGCCCCATCTCCTCACTCAGCCAAACCAGGCTGAAGAGAAACCAAACCAATTCTGAAAGAGAATTAGCACTGGACTGCTAATTTCCAAATGTTGCCGCTGCCTACACTATGCTTTTCTCTACTGTCTGTGCCGTGTTTAGAGAAAGAAGACGTTATTACTGCTACTAGAAGAAGGCTACTACTGACAACAGAAGATAGCTTCAGGCAAAATATACCTTTTATCCCTATCACCTCCCAGTCACCAGTCAATGACTGTTGTTACACTAAAATGGGAAGGCCTCTGGTGAGCTCATGACAGTGACCTGCTGGACAATCACAGAAATGATTTCACTTTGCTGCTCTGGATGACAGCTCCTGAGCAAAACAAAGGGAATACATCTTTTTTGAAAAGCTGTCTAATTGGTATTTCCATTCTGAGAACATGAACTGCTTTTTCTCTTCTGTACATGTCGACATCTGAGTCTTGGACATTAAGGGCTCTCCTTTTCCTCCCCTCTCCTGCACTTTCCACAGGTTGGTGCCACACACAGAGCCCCGCCTCCCTCTGCACTCTGATGATATTGTCATCCGGTGCCTTTTGATAAATGTTCAAAATGCACACGTGTAAGAGACGAGAAGGAAAAAGAAGAAAAAGTAGTAATGCAAAGCAGAAAAATAAAAAAGAATTTAAGAGGAAGGAAACATATGGCCTCATATGTTGATTGTGGGCCATTTTCCTTACAAACTCCACTCCGTCTTCTTTCGTTTTGTACCTCATTTAACATGACTTGTTTATGCCAGCCTAGCTCTGCACTGCAAGACCCCAGGGATACAGAACTGCATCTCTTGGCCTGACCGGGCTGCTGCCCTAGCTGCTTTTGAGACATGAGAAATAGCACTTGCTCAGGAAGAAGCACTTCTGCTCCCACACTGGCCTAGGTAAATGATTGATTTTGCCGAATTCCCACAGCTAGATCTTTCTGGACTTTGTAATTTGGACAGGTTACGAAAGGATGACCACAAATTTCTCATCTAGAAATGCAATCTGTTCCTCCCCATCTTGGATCCAGGGCTGATTTTCTTAGGGCTACACAGGTAGAAACTTGAAAAATTCTTGTGCATGGGGCTTATCCTCTCTTTCTGCTCTTGGGAGCCTTGCAGTCACCAGCAGGTGAACAAACATGGGCCATCCTGCTGCATAACAAGAGAAGAGGCCCAGTTGACTAGCCACATTCTGCTATTCTCAATTGATTGCAAAGACATGAGTTAGCCTAGGAAGACCAACAGAAGAACTGTCTAGCTGAGCCCAGCCCAAATTGCTGATTCTTATACAAGGATGAGAAGCTGGTGCAGTCTTAAATGTTTATTTTTCTTCAAGAAAAAGCTAACTTCTCCTTGTCTGAATGTTGAATCCCTGTTCCATCTAAAGTGAGGTGTCTCAAAGTGTCAGTTTTTTTTTTGACAGACATTTGTCAAAGCTTTTCATTCCATACTATTACTGTGGTGCATAGTCGGATCCTATCACTAGAGGATAGTGCTGTCCCCCACTCCCAGCAGGGATCCATTCTCCATCTGTGGATCCACGGGCAACCATGACAAGGTTCCTTCTTCAGCATCTCCTTGGTCTTCTCCAGAGCCACCTGATTGGAACTAGGCCCTATTCTTAAATACCATTCCACTGGTATCCATTATTTCGTGGATTTGCAGAATCGTCATACTTGTATAATGAAATAAAGAAGCCCCTGGGTGAGAGTGAGAAAGGTGAGTTGGTATCATTGCTTGGAAGAGAACTGGTCTACGAAAGGACTTCCCACTGCTTTTGGCCTGTCCCAGAGGAACCAGGAGGACAGTTCAGCCCAGTACCTGCACTTCCAAGGACTGGAAAGACATGAGCCATAATCTTGGTGCTGAGTTTTAACCTTGCTGGTGTTCCTGGGCTCTGAAAGCCTAGGTCTAATGTGTCTGTTTGGGCCCCAATTCAGGTGGAAAAGATGGTTAAAACATCATTTCTTAGTCACCAGCTTTGGATTTCAACTTGCTCAGGCAATTTTGGAGAATATTGGGCGGCGGCAGTAACTATTATCTCACTACACTGAGCACTGTGGCAGGCTTCTCACCACCAAAGAGCCCCATAGCACCAGCTGCACAGACCAAAAATATTGCTTTTCTTAGCCAGGGGCATGTATGATATGGGTGAAGGTTGAGGTGGAGCAATGGGAAAGCGTTATTAAAATTGGAAACCTGCAATTCCAGAGACAACAAAACTACAGACACAAAAATACAAAGATAACAGGCTACTGAAAGAACCTGTGGGGAGGGCTGGCTTGTCCCCTGCAAGACTGTAAACATCACTCAGATTTCCAAGTGTTCCATCAAGAGAAACAGTTGTTTCTGGGCATGTGGACAGGAGATGAGGCATCCGTGACACCTCAGCTTTTTCTCTCTACATCCCTTTGTTTCTTCTTCCCTCAATCATGTGTCCTAACAGAAAGTGCTTTTCTCTATTAGCTTCCTTCCTAGATTTTCTTAGGGCTACAAGATAAGTCATGGTCTTTGTCCTTGGTTGGGGACCCTGCAATTTAATAGGGGAAGTGAGACATGCCCAAGAAAGAATTAGGATATTTTATGAATTATAACATGAGACATTGCTCTGGAAAATGACAGCAAACCCGGAGAATTAAAGTTTTTTTAAATTTAAGTGAGTATATTTTAATATTTAAGTGTTGTTTGTCCTTCCACCTTAAAGATATGTTCAGTCATCTGAAAAGCCAATATTCAAAACCAGAATAGAAAGAGGTGAATTAAGAGGGGGAGAGCTGCAAGGCAGAGGACCCAGTGGGATGCTCATGAGCTGCCATGCTGGTGAGTCACCACTGAGTCAGCGACATGGGGGGAGGGGGCATGGATGCAGGTGGCAAGGGGTGTCCCCTAGTAGCTGAATGGCTTCTCTAGGCCATGCTGGGGACACTAGTCATGGACAGAGTGGTCCAGGTCAGCTGGTCCAGCTATGCATGCTCACAGGGGTAGCGCTGCATCTGATTCTCAAGGGATTTAGGTCTGCAACTTTGAGGGTGCTGCCTACCCCCCTTCACACAACACAAGGCTTGCTGAAATGATGGGCCTCCCTCCTTTCTCACAAGCCTCTCTCTGCGCCTGGCGCAGGACTGTGCCGACTGGGGGTGGGAAGGGAGCCGAGGCACTTATGCTGAGCATTCCCAGACACATCTGTACATATTTCTAAATAGGCGCAAAGACTTCACATAGGTAATCTGTAGACCCAAGGCAGCCTTTGAAAAAGCCTGAAGTCATAGATTTGTAATCTTCCTCCACCCCTCCACTTTTTTTTCTTTATAGCTGTTGAAATAAATCACTAGTGAAGTTACAAACTAATTAGCTCTTTAGACTCCAAACTTGTCTGTTCTACTAGATCAGTGTTTCCCAAAAATAATAGCCATAGAATTACTCTATTGCTGTTAAAATGTATTATTGGACTCTGCATTGGGGATTAAGCCAGGATTTGTTCTTAAAATTTATTTCAGGGAAGTCCTGTGACCAGATGCATTTGGGAAATGCTGCATTAAAGTTTACCCCTGATATACCCCCAAACAGTTGGTTCTGAGGCTTCCTTGGGTCGTGAAATATTTTCTTCAAATGCCCTGGTTGGGTCTTCTCACTCCCTTGGGTCTGGCAGTGGCGAAGCCCCCAGCAGTCCAGCTGTGACTGTGATGACTGACTTGCCAGGATCCAATGTGGGAGAACTGTGTCACGAAGGGAGAGAAGAAAGCTAGGAGCACCCCAGGGAGCCTGTTCTAGACGTTTCCAATCTTAGAATAGTTACTTGTTGTGACAATCTCAGATCCGGCAACAAGAATTACAGGTAATTTTCTCATTCCCTAGATGCCATTCTGAGCAAAACTTAGATTGTGAAAAGAAAGACCATAAAGGAGATGGCAGAAAGAAATCATTTTTAAAGCAAATTACCAGCCTGGCTAATCAACACTTCCTCCTGCAGACCCAAAGTGATGTGAGCATGAATAATAAACTCTATATAATAGTCCTTCCACAATTGTATCTAGATGTTGCCAGAATCTTACACAAGTTTGAAATTGATTTGGAGAATATTGAGATCCAAATTCATCAAACTAGGGCCAGGTACTTAAAGTTCTAGAAGAAAAAAGTGCCTAGATTTTTTTTCCTGCCAGGATCCTACCTCCTCTTCACCTGAGAAGTTGAGCAATGAAGCTCCGGGTCAGAGGCTTTAACATCCGGCAGGCAAGATACTGCTGAGCTGCTTGAAGCTGCAGCCTGAGCTTTAGCACTGCCTGGGGGTGATTAAGTTAATGCTAATAATTTGTACATGCTATTCATGGTGTATTATTGTTTACAGATCATTTTCACATATGTATTCTCTCATTTGATGGCCACAAAAACCCCCTGTGATAGAAGCAGGGTGGATGTTGTGGTCCCTTCAAACAGAAGGCAAAGTTGGGGTTGAAAAAAAATCTGTGAAATGTTAAAATTATAGAAGCCAAGCCTTCTGAATATCTAAGAATCTTTCCTATTCCTCCAATACTCGTGGGACTGGGATCTGGCAAATTCTCTTCACAGCTGATGTCTGGTGACAAGAGTCTTGGACTCTGTTCTCACTCATGTCATTGGTGAAGCCATAAAGACAGACACAGTTGCTGCTTCTTCCTACCAAGCACCTCAACTGCTGCTTCAAGAGGAGTCTGCTTCACCCAAGGAGACCTTCGTTTTCATTAGCCGTGCTGGGAGGGAAGACAGGCTTTGATAAAAATGTGCTTCAGATTTTAGAATCCTTGAAGAATTTTTGAGCCAAACCACAAATGCATCATAATTCTGGGGGCTGAGGGTAACCTGCTTGGGAGCAAAATAGCTGGCATCTTCACTGCACATGAGCATTTTAGATAAAAGTAAGAGGAACCAAATACAGAGGGTTAGTTAAAAAAAATTTTAGCCTCTTGGGCTAGACACAGGTAAATGCACTTGGACCCTTTTCTTCTGGGAAAGCTAAAAGAGAAACAACTTCTTTTCTACCTTGGCTTTAAGGAAAAGCCACTTTATTAACAAAGGTACTAGACACTATTCCATGGAAAGTTTCCTTGTGGGACTAAAAAACAATGGGACAAAGGGGGTTCAGAAATCTGCTTCATGAGAATCATTGCCCAATTGTTTTTGTGCCTTGTCTGTGGCATCAAAATGAAAATGTTTGTGTCACTGTTGCCCGTGTTTTTTGGGTTTTTTTTTGGTGTCAAACAGAGAGAGTAAATTTTAGTTGTGATGTTTTACGCTAAATAAAGCATTTTCACCTGAAGTTGTTATCAAGAGCTCATAATTCACACAACTATGGTTAATCATGATCAGATGTGAAATGGCCTCAGCAGGGCGAGGGGGAACATCATATAATACATAACTGCGTCAGACTGTTTGATGTAGTATATTGGATGGGCCCTAGAGGAGGCAGGTACTGACAGAGCATGCCGTTTGTTTTTACAGAATTGGATAAGCTACAGCCTAGATGAATACTGTCTCCACTCTTTCTACTCTCCACAGACTAACGTTCAGGAATTGATGAGGACTAGGAAAGATGGCGGGACAATGTGATGGCACCTCACTCATTTTCAAGAATGGCAAAGAGCATTTATTTGCTTGCTAGAAGTTGCACTTGAGGAAGGGAGGAAGGAAGCACTTCTTGAGGGAACATTAAACTCTGAAGAGCTTTGAAAAATTCCAAGGTATCATAATTAACAAAAGGCAACTTCAATCCTTTCTTAGCGAAAGAAGTAATAAGTACCTTCAGAAACTATTAATCCTCTCTTAATGACCAGGAGTTCTCAAGGGAATCCAGATTTCAGGGTCTTGGTTGATAGGAAAACCTGTCCTTGCCAGAAGCATGTGGGCTCCATTTGCACCTTTTAGTAGTTAACTTTAAAATGTTTACATTAGAAGGCTGCTGTGTATTTAAGGGCATTTTTATTTGGGATTTGGTAAAATTCTTTAATTTGTTGATTCTATTCATATAAAATCAGCATTCATTGATGAGATCTGTTGCTTCCTTGATTTGTGGGTCAGATTTCCCATCAATGATGGAAAGTTCTCACCTATAACGTGTCAAATATTTTTTCTCCTCTTTAAACTGTCTTTTCAGAATTCTGATTAAATGTTAGACCTATTATTCTGTCCTATATATTGCTTAATCTACCTTCTGTATTTTTCATCTTTGTCTCACTGTATTCTGCATATTTTTTTCAAATTTATCTTCCAGTTCATTGCTTTTCTCTTCAGTTGACTCTAATCTCTTTCCTCTGAATTTTAATTTTTATTAATGTATTTTTCATTTTTCAAAACTCAGTTTAGTTCTCTTTACAATATATGTAGTCACCATTGATAATGTTTTGCCCCTGACTCTTGTACACAGTTTCCTCTAATTTTTTTGAATATACTAATTGTATTAATTTCCTAATTTATAGCTAGTAATTCTGATAGCTTCAGTCTTTGGGGGTTTAATTTCGAAATGTGTTACTTCTACCAACCCTCACTCATGAATTCTTCTTTCCTTATATGTGTCATAGAATTTGTGGTAGAATACTATTGGTGCCCGCCAAGAAAGATCCTTCTAACTCCTTAGCTGTCCTGCATCTCCCCATTATAACTCTATAAATGTATAGCAAATTTGGAGTGTTCAAGCAGATTGAGTGGTTGAGTGGAGGAGTTGAAGTGCTAAATGGGGAGAATCAAGAAGGTATGTATCTTCTGATATACCTTGTATTTCCCTCTACAGGGAGCTTCTAAACTGAAATGAGCCCAAGCAAGGGAAAAGCAGGAAACATTAACTTTACATAGAGCTCAGTCTGATAATTATAAATTAATCACGCTTTTAATTACAGAAGAAAGACTATAGGTGGTTAATAGTGAACAGAGGTCATTTGCTATTTAAGAGTAACCAAGATGGATTAGAATAAGACAATGGGGGGTGTGGGGGTTGGGATGGAGGACTTAGTTATTTTGTTTGATTCACAACTGATTCACATTTAAACAAATGTAAGTCATAGTTTTATATACTTTCAACTCAAGAAATAAAGATTTCTGTATTTTAATCATTAAGCTGATTTCAGGTTCAGAAAAATCTTGGCAGGAACATCCTAATAATACTCATCATATCATCCAGGTAAAAGTTACATTTGGTGCTGAATTGATTTTAATCATTTCCTGAAGTCTTATCAGGTGACCTGAGATGACTCATAGATAGGGAAGGAGGTGTTGAGATAGCTGACAAGTCCTCAGAGAGTGCGTTAGTCTGACACGCCACCTAGTGGCACAGGTCCAAGGAAATGCTTCTAACTCGACCTCCCAGGACTCAAGGTGTTGAGTAGAGGTGTATCATCTCAAATTGCTTAGAGGTATTCTTAAAAGCTATGTATGAATTCACTTTTGGAAATAAAATCAAATACACTAGGAGTTCTTTACTTAAAAGTGGTGAGTTTTTATGTATTTTTCATAAGGTTAAAACATATTATATTTTCAGATCAGACATCTGTGGGTACCGTGGGAGGGAAAACCTCATGTTTCTTGCTGGGGACCAACTGGGAATGAGATACATGCCTCCTTTGATTGAAAGCTATTTTAAAGCATGTTTTCTAACATCATGGATGTGCTTTCTGAAGTCAGGTCAAATTCTGATGCTACAGAATTGTAGTGAGGCCAGTAACAAACAAAAATTATGTCACTGAACTTTGTTCCTAAAGGACATAAATAGTCCCTGGCCTTTCAAAGTTAAGAGATCAATTTATTTCTCTCTCTGCTTTCTCTTTCTCTCTCTTTCCCATTATTGCTCTTACTATCTCTAAAAAGCCAAGCAAAGAAGATTCCAATCTCTTATGTTAAAAAGCCACAATCTCTTGTTTGTTAAAACAATTCTGGACCTTAAGAGATGTTTTCTTAAATTTTCATTTTTGGGGCAGCAGCCTAGCACCAATACATTCTTCCTGCCTCATTCCTCGCCCACCCACCCCCTTCCCCCCCACCCCCCCCCCCCCGCCCCAGATGTTCTGCTGCTCCCATAGAACAAAGCTAGAGAGACACACAGGCCAACTTCTGCTTAGCACTTTTCTCATAAAAGCGCTTTGTTCCACTAAGTGGGGTTCAGTGATCATGAATGGACATCAATACTATCACTGCACCCACAGATGCCTCGTGTCAATGCTGCGATCTAGACAACTGACTTTTGTTACTCTTTCACATCCAGGAGACAGCCACCAAAGTTCCAGTCAAAAATTTTTGGTTGCAAATGACAGAAAGCTCCATGGGTCAGCGGAAGAAAAAAGGGGGGACCAGAGAGTGATGAAGGTTGTTTAGTAAAGAGATCTTGAGGTTGCTCCCAGGATGGAAGAAGAGCAGCAGGGGCTGAGGGAAGCCTGAATCTTGGCATAGTCAGCTTCCCTTTGACCGTCACTCACACCTGCTTGTCCTTTTACATCTCTATTCCCAGCGAGGACAGCCTTTCTCTACAAGGTAGGAGCATAGCCATTAGCACTCCAATTTTCCAGTTCATGTGATAAGGGAGACAAAGGATTTTCCCCATAAGAACGATCCTGCAGGAAAGTATGGCACCCCATATGCACCCCATACCTGCTTTGAGCTAATCTTTGTGGTCAGAGATATGACAAGGCCATGTATGACCAGGAAGATGAGATTTTGTGATAGGTAGTGGGGTAGGAACATTGCTCCAGAGGCGTGAGGGAGATACTAGTAACAGCCTTGGAAAAGGGAGGCCTGGCACCTCTGTGCTGCCTTCTCTCCCCTAGAGCTTGCTGCTGGGGCAGAGAATCCCCTGTGCAGCTGAGCTTCAAGCAAAACATGGTTACTGGGAGCTCTACATTTGGGAGATTATTTGTCTCACAAAGTCCTCATTTTACTTGTAATCTTTTTTAAAAAAATTTTAACTGAGATATAATTGACATATAACAGTAGTGTTATATGTACACTAATGAGTTGATATTTGTAGTTAATGAGAAGTGACCTCTGCAGTAGCTTTAGTTAACATCCTCACCACTTGGTTACAAAAGTTTGCTGCCTTGTGGTGAGAGCTTTTAGGATCTACACTCTTTGCAGCTTTCAAATAGGTACTATGGTGTTGTGAACAATAATCATCGTGTTGCACGTGATATCCCTGTAAATTATTTATTTTATAACTGGAAGCTTGCATCTTTTGCCCCACTTCGCCCATTACAAGATTGACTTGTGATATTCCCCCGCCCCCCACCATCTCTTGTGTCCCCTCATCCCTTACCTGCCCCCTTAACCTCAGACCCCTCAGTGTTTATTGATATCCACTGGTTTTTGAAAATGTTTTACAGTATTCAATCGTCAGCTATGTAAATGTCCAATATTTGTTGTTATTTTCTGACTTGTTTTACTAGACTTGATTCTCTCAAAATCCCTCCATATTGTTAAAAATGGCTTCATTTCATCTGTTCTTATGGCTCCATTGTACTCCATGGTGTGGCTATACCACATCTTCTTGATCCAATTGTCATTTAGGACATTTAGCTGCTTCCATGCCCTAGCTATTTAGTCAATAATGCTGCTGTGAACACTGCAGTATGTGGGCTTTTGTCTTGATGGTTTCATATTCTTTGGATAGTCAAGAGTAGGATTGCTGGCATTTCCATTTTCAGTTTTTTAAAGTGAAACCAAAATGCTTTCCATAAAAGTTGCACCAGTTTACACTCCCACCAACAAAGTAATGGGGTTCCTTTTTCTTTGCATCCACTCCAACACTTGTTGTTGGAGGACATTTTAGTATGTGCTGTTCTCACAGGTGTGAGATGGTTTCTAATTGTGGTTTTAATCTGCATCTCTCTCATTAGAAGCAACAATGAGGGCCTCTCTGGTGGCACAAGTGGTTAAGTCTCAGCATTATGAAGCTATCCATTGCCTCTGCAGCACGAGTTTGATCCCTGGCCAGGGAGCTAACCCACATGGCGCAGCAGACCTGTCCTGTCTCACCCTCTGCTCCCCTCAGCAGTGTATTTCAGTCAGTCTGCCTGTTTTGTTCTCCACTCTGTCTCTGGTGAATCCTCTCACACAAACACACTCCACACCTCTAGCCTACACCCCAGCTCTTGTATGTATAAAAAATAAAAATAAATCTTTTTTTAAAAAAGAAGCAACAATGAATATTTTTTCATATGTCTGTTGGCCTTCTGGATATCTTCTTTGTTATATTGTTCTTCACAGTGTAAGAAAGAAAAAAAATGTCTGCTTAGAGATTTGCACTGTGAAACTTGCAAAGGATAAAGAGA